ACTTATATATAATTTACTAATATAGTTATAATAAATAAAATACATGTAGCTTTATAAATATATCAATATACTATATAATGTGCGATAAAAATTAAAATAAATTAGAAATACTGTAAAGAATCAAGTGAAATATACCGCTATATATATACTGTAATTTACTAATATAATTATAATGAGTAAAATAGCTTTACTCTAATATCAATATACTATATAAGGCACATATTCTATATAAGGCGCAATAAAAACTAAAATAATTATAGGGCGCAAAAGTAAACGCGGCACATTGAACTACGAAATTCAATACACACTATATTTGACGCGCTATGGTTTCTTCAGAGTCCACTCGACCCAGTCTTTCACGCGATCTATGTATTGTCGAGATCTCGATTTTGTATCTAATAACAATAATAATAGTTTTATTATCCATCTTTGGTTAAAAGAGTACAATGGATTTACAGAGAAAAGCATCTGTACGGTGTTGTTTTGGTGTCATCGTGGTCGTGAAGGTCAACGAAAGCTAACAAGAGAGAGCTTCATCTTCGCACAAGGCGTAAAAAAAATACCTGTGATTCCGGTTTCTTAGCGTGAAAAATTAGGGTCGATAGTTCGGAAATACATTTTTTTTTGAATATTTTTTTCATGGTTTTGGCGTTTTTTTGCTGGGCGATTTGCAGTAGAGTCCCGACATCAATATTAACTAGAGATTCGTATTTCCTATGGACGAATTTAGGCAATTTGGTTCAATAATTAATGTGACAACAGACGCCATTTTGGCACGCTGTATGAGCAGCCCGCAACCACCTGGAGAAAATAGGGTCGCACGGTCAATCGCGTTGAAAAAATAATAGGATCGGCAGAAAAAATAGGGTCGGTCGGGAACCGGAACCACAGGTACATTTTTTTACGCCCAAGATCCCACCGGCGAAGAGTACGCGACGACGACTAGTGGAGAGTTTAGATATCTTTCCAAATCATACCTTAGACCGAGTAGAGTAGACCTGCCGTAGTCGTCCCCATCTTGCTTTTTGACCTCGGCGTAAAACAATCTTAATTGGTCGTCTAACGTCGCGTTGTCCAGTTCGTGTAGCTCCATTGCAATTTGTAGGACTTTAGCCCATTCTTAAAAAAATAATGTGACTGTTATGTATTTTTTACGAATTTGTTTAACTTTGCTTGTGAACTAGAATGTTGTTGTTTTAAAAATAAGTGTACGTTAAAAATGTTGACGGCGTATATTGTTTTTGCTTTTGTGCTATGAGCTTGCACCAACTCGTCAACTTCCTTTACTGTAGTTGGTGCAAGTCTTCGACTGTCACTTGCCGCTCGTTTAATATATTATAAACTTCACTGTTTTCACACCTTAAAAAGTTTGGATAATCGGTCATTTTGAAAATCCCAGGCGAAGAATTTAAAATATTTTCCGAGGGAATACCGAATGGTTTTCCGTGCAGGATTACGTGATCCATGCACGAGGGATGTCGCGAGACTTTCGGAAAGCGAAAAAATACTCGAGCCGAAGGCGAGTGTATTTTTACTAGGCCGTGGGCTGTTGGCCAAAATTATTTCGCTTCGTGGCACCCATGTGGGAAATGCTTGGTTTGGGGTTTATTTGAAAGGCATATAGGTACATCACTACCAAAAACAAGTTGCCCAAGCAAAAAGTTGCCCAATACCGAGAAAATGGGTGATCAATGATTATCCTCTATTAAATTGTATTACAGCAAAAATTGTGAAATTTTATAATTCAATTACAATAAAAATTACTTCCATCATCGGAAAACGTACAAAAAACTTTTACGTATTTAAGTAGAATATAAGACTTTTAAACAGTTTTTTGATTTTTCAAATAGACTTGGAGTTATTGCTGTTTTAAATGTGAAAATTGGACCAAGATGTCGCAATAAGGACTGGATACTACAATCAGGAGCAAAAAAAATTAGACTTTTCACGTTTTTGGCCATTTTCAAGTACGTCGGCCGCCCCCCTCCCCCCATGATCAATATTGAAGAAAGTGGGTTGAATTTTCTCTTTTCAATCATTCACACAACATTGAATTGGGGGTGAGGGGGGCATTTATGCGGTTGTCTCAATAATTTTTGCTCCTGAGTGTCTGAATTGTACTGATGGAGAAGATCATCTATATATATAAAAGAATTATGCTGTTTCTGATAGAGTACTGTATAGATATATCTTCTGCTCACTTTCAGCACTGCTCACTTTTGCATTGCTCACTTTCAAAGTTGAAAAATTAATGATGACGTCATCGCAGATTACCATTACGTCATCATTTGCTTATTATTGTTATATTTAATATTTCTTATCTCAATTGGTTAGTATTTTTTGAGTATTAAATTTCGTGGATTAAATATGCTAGCTTCAATCAACGCTAAAATTATATTTGCACAACTAGCGTTACCTTGTTTCGCAATATCAACTTGGGCAAATCTCGCCATGGTAAAGTCAAGAAAGCCAGTACCAGTGAAAACCTCACTGTACATGAGATACTTATTCCAAGAGAAAGGAGTAAGAGGTAGCCAGCTTTTACAAGCGTTTCCTAAATACAGCAAAGCCACAGTATATCGTCACGTTAAATTGCCAATTGATGACTGCGAACGACACGACAAACGCAAGTACAATAAAGGACGTCCCAGGAAATTGACTGTTCGCGAGGAGCGAAACCTGGTGAGAGAATTGCGGAAATTAAGAGCAACAATCGGGTCATTTTCTGCATCCAGACTTCGAACAGCAGCGGGTATACACCTCCTGAGGTTTCACTCTGGACCATTCGAAGAAGCCTTAAAAGTCACGGGTATTTTTACTTGCATTCCCGCAAGAAAGGACTTTTGAAACAAAGGGATCTAGGACGCCGATATCGATTCGCTTGCAGAATTAGAAGATTACTGCCCGATAACTTCTGGGAATGCGGTATCAGCTTCTACCTTGATGCGACGTCTTTCGTTCACAAAACCAATCCTTTTGATCAGGCACGAGCTTGCAAATCAATGGCATGGAGAAAAAGAGGTGAAGGCCGTCTTGCTCTTAATTGCACAAGTAAAGGAAAAAAAGCCGGTGTGGAAGGAAAAACGGCACATTTCTTCGTGTCTATCGCGTATGGAAAAGGAGTGATAGCTTGCGATCAGTTTTTTGAACGCTTGACCGGAGAGAAATTTGCTGACTACGTTTGCGAACACTTCCCGCAAATATTTTCCAAAAGCGCGAATCCGATTGCCAAGCGTTTCCTTCAGGACGGTGACCCTGCTCAAAAGAGTGCTTCCGCCAAGCGAGCATTTCAAGAGATCCAGGCATTGATGTTTTCAATACCGGCACGAAATCCGGATCTTAATCCCATCGAAAACCTTTTTCATTTAGTATCAAGACAGCTAACGAAAGACGCTCTAGACATGGAGATAACAAGTGTCGAAAACTTAGGACAGTTTTCGGCGAGAGTAAAAAAGACGATGAGAAACTTTCCTATAAGTACGATCGAAACATCATTATGTCTATGGGCAAACGCGTTACAACGATTATCAAGAAACGAGGAGAAAGACTTAAGTATTAATGGCTTTCGAAAACGTTTACCGCCATGAGCGTTCAATTTCAATTCTATATATATTGTATTGATATTAAATACATTTGTTAGTAAAACGAAACGTACTAGTTATATATGTTTGTACATGTCTATCACGGTTTATTCTTGTCATTATGCGATTGTTTTCACATGGAAAAACACAACTATTGCAAGGAAAAGATAAAACTCGATTTGTACACGTTACACTACACGTTACACTACACGTTACACTACACGTTACACTACACGTTACACTACACGTTACACTACACGTTACACTACACGTTACACTACACGTTACACATGGTGACTAAGCAAAAATATATATAATTCAACAAGTTACACGCGTTACACCCAATATTTATTAAAAAATAATATATTGTTTATTTTTTTAAAATGTAGTGTAACGTGTGTAACGTGTCATTTTACCAATGTATTCTGTAATATCCCAAGTGTAGCGTGTAGTGTAACGTGTACGTAACGTGTATGTAACGTGTAGTGTCATTTTGTCTGAGTTTTCAATATTCAATGTACATCAATATACATTATATTTAATTCATCAATGAGAACTAGTTTAAAAATCCTCATCCAACAACACTAGCTCAGTAAAGCAGCGTGGGCATGGCACAAGATTCTTTTGCTCTTCTTCTGGGATTGTGTGGTTCAGCTGAAATACTCTGCACCTCACAGACATCATTTCTGTTTCTCTTTCGTCAATTCTACCATTTCTACCGTAGTAAACTATATTGGACCACTGCTTGTAGCAAAAATTGGGATGTCGCTGTCGATACATACGTCGCTTGAGTATTGATTCTTGGGCGCAGGGAGGTGAACGATGTGGCCTTCGAGAAGCAAGAGGAAATCTTTCCATGTGATCAGAGCAGAATTCCAGCGAAACTCGTTGAGATATATGACTTCATGTTCCTCAGCTCCTACCCAGGCATATTTGTCAATAGCAGAATTGACAAATGTCTTAAACAACGCACACAAAGGATTTAGGAGGAAGGACTTTCCACTATTGGCGCAACCAATCAACATTACATTTCGGAACTTGCCCCTCCCTTTCGTTAAAAGATCTTTGATGACCGATCCAAATACAACTGGGTGAATATTGTTGTTCTTCAGAACCTCTAGTGCACAATTTATCCATTGTAAATCACAACCCGCAACACATTCTGATGAATAAACTTCGCGAACTAACTGCATTCTGGGTTTTTTCCCCCTGTCAATCTTCGCTTGGGCGTTTTTCATGAGCCAAGTGTTCTTAATCAACTCCTCGACGGCTTTGTTAGATCAACTGAGGATAAAATTTGCTAACTCTTTCTTTCCTTCATTCTTCTGAGCCTCGGCAAATGCCAGTAGTTCAGTATAATCCTTCACATGGTTGGCAGCAATAAAATCAAAGACTTCCAAATTGCTGATACGTTTAATATTTATGTTTAATATTTGTTGCTTTTTCATTGTTTTTACCCATTGGAGTGCTGGATGAGCGCTTTCTACTCGCCGAGCGATATGCACGAACACATTTAGATGTTCGCGGAGACCCAATTTCTTCGAGATTAGGGTGGCCGGGACTTAAATAGACTTCCGGATCTTTTTTCGTAACATATTTGTAGGCTGTGTAGTAATTGTCATGACTATCCGAAAAGTTTAGAACCACACCGTGTTTTTTCATCATATTATCCTTCAAACTCTTCCAGCGTTTAGGGCCATTTAATTTGACACAGAGATGGTAGTGAACACCCGATGTATTTCCATGGAGTTCTAGACAGCAAGCCCAGTGTTCAACACAAGCTTTTGTCGTCGATTTCTCGTTGAAGTAGGCCACGACCTGCTCACCAAAGCTTTGCCTTGTGGGAAATTTGCTCTGATCCGCCCGACTGTATGTCACCTAATATACTCTTCGCACATTATTTTTCGAGAGTTGCCTCGTTTGAAAATCGTCATCTCCACTCTCAGCCATGTTCTGTAGCCAAAATTGCAATTAGAAATGAATTAAGATTGGCAATAAATATTTGTGGAATGTTGACGAATACCAAAACAATGGATGCACATTATTATAACTAAAACTGTGTTAAATTGCTTAAGAATGAAACATACCTTGTATGGTCGGTTAGTAACCTTACCCGAACATTAATTTCTTTCTGTTATCACGTTATGAAGTCAATAGTGATCAATATAAAGCCGTAATTATCTATACAGGCTGATGCAAAAAAAATAATTGTAATCAACATAAATTTCAAAATTCCCGCCAATTCATTCCCAGTCCCTTACGTGACGTCCGCGTGTCATTTTGACAAGGTTACGTCACTTACACGTGTGTTAACTGTGGTTCATCCTATCGATGTAAATAATCGAAAAATTGTCATACATCCCTCTGCCGAGCTAAATGTAATATCCGCATAAATGTTAAAAAAGTACACATTTCCGACAAAAAATCCAATTGGCAGACAATCAGGAGCAAAAATAATGAGACTTTTCACGTTTTTGGCCATTTTCAAGTACGTCGGCCGCCCCCCTCCCCCCATGATCAATGTTGGAGAAAGCGGGTTGAATTTTCTCTTTTCAGTCATTCACACAACATTGAATTGGGGGTGAGGGAGGCATTTATGCGGTTGTCTCAATAATTTTTGCTCCTGATTGTAGGTCAAAAACGCGTTTTTGACAGCGTATAACTCGAAAACAATTTTAGATATAAAAAAAGTGTTTAAATGTCTTATATGTAGGTTTTTGTAAGCTTTCTGATGGAAAACCATTTGGTAATTGTTTTATAAAATAATTACAATGAAACTATGACATTTTCATAATCCCACGAAGCATTTTAATTCCTCGTGCGGGATAGCCTGATCCTGCATGCGGCTATTGACCGATCAAATTGCGTGTTTCACTGTAGTTATCCCCGAGCCAACGGCGCCGCCGTTCCGGGCATTAGCCCGGGGCGACTACCGGGCGAGGATACTAATTTCGCCCGGCTATTAACACCCCAATCTCGTACCCAGAGCAATGCCTGTGCGCGGGCTAGGATTGGCTCTGGGGAAACTGAATTTTTCCTGTGCTGTGATTGGTTTAACGTTTGTCAATCGTGCATGCCGACAAAGAACCGGAACCCCTAAATTTAGGGGTTCCGGTTGTCAATTTCCCCAGAGCCAATGCCATCCTAGCCCGCGCACAGGGATTGCTCTGGGTACGAAATTGTTAACACCCGGCGAAAGGAAAGCATTAGCGAAGTCTAAAGTTCATCAATTATCGTGGGTGCGTGACTATGGTGCATGGGTAGACCTCCTCACTGATCTCAAAAATATGGTGTTTGCCAGGACACAGAGTAGGGACATACAGAGACGTATCTAGTGTACCCACATTTTTTTGCGCATGCTCGGAAAGTTACTAGATGCATGCATCTGATTGGATGACGACCTGATGACGACTCACTTTAAACTTGCTGAGCACGCGCAGTTGATCATTTTTCGCCCGTTCGCCTGAAAAAAAGTGGGTACATGATAACGTAATCTTCCGCAGTGTTTACAACGGTCAGTTACGTCTCTGTATGTCTTATCTACTCTGTGGCCAGGAGTGGGATAAGCACAATGAGGATATTAAAGGAATAAAGCAAGATTTCAATTTTCAAAAGCATATATTTGGAAAATTATACGTTTCACACAATGAACTTTGAAGCACTTTTTGTTTGAAGAAATGAGAACAATTGATTTAGTATGACAAATCGTGAAATATAGAGCAAGTTTGCTTTGAATATTTAATGTTTATGAATTTTGTTGCTTTCAATAATTATTTGCATAACACATGCTCTGCTGTTTTCCTTTTCAATGAACTTACCAGAAATATTCGACAAGATGGCGACGGACATGCGCACTTTGACCAAATATGGCGACCAAATATTACTATAAAATATATGGGAGTTGATCAAAATATCAAATTTTAATATACTTTGTTTAGATATTTCATGGTTGCCGAGCTCGATTATAATAGCGACACGAACAAGCAATATTTCTAAACAAAAATCGCTAGTATTGCACGCGTCTAGCTGGTTCCTGAGAATGTTGTATTTTTACTCGCAATTTGATGAACTTCATAGTGTAATTTATAGTAAACTTGTGACACAAGAGGTAAATATCCGACGAATAGACCAACATCCGTTCGGGCGATGCAAAGTGCCGAGCTCGCGATATATTTAATGATGTCCAAACTGTTAATTTAGCTAAATAAATCGTTGTAATTTCCAGGGAAACTAGTTCCCGAAACGTTTAAAAGTTCGCCTTTTTACGGTTCTTGCATGTCGCCATTAGGCCATCTTAATATCCAAAAACGACAAGTTTTAATACAAATTTGAGCTGTTTCGAGCCGCCATGTTTCCAATCTCGTTCCCCGAGCCTGCGATCCTTGGGAAGGAAACGAAGGCTCTGGGATAATCCATCTCAGACATACAGAAAACTGTATGTCGACCGAACTGCGCATGCGTTTGCAAAAGCAAAACAAATTGTTTGAAATATTTTATTGTTTCGTCTATAAAATGATGATTTTTTCTCGGTTTTGGTGGAAATGT